AGCGGCAAACATATCTCTGGTATGTGGTCCATGTATGTTGTCAGCGATCTTAAACCACCTAGGATTGACCATCCAATCCGTAGCTAGTGACTCCCTAATCATCTTATTAAAGTCTGGTACGAAGCGAGACAACATGTCGGGTAAGTGATTGTGAATACCCGGTATGTGTGTTATGCCGAAAGAAAATTTTGCGATCGCATCATGCCACCGACTGACTAACTGTGAGTTAGATTTCATGTTCTTTAGGTGTTGCAATGACTTCTGATCACATAGCACGTTAAAGTGCGTGCCATATAGATAGTCCTTAAAATGAGTGAGTGCAGTAATTGATCTGAGACGAATTCATAGCCCTGCTAAAGAACTGTAGATATCCTGGTTTCCCATCAATCATTTGATACAGGACGCCGCCGAGTGCCATGTCGGACACGTCTGTTGCTACCATGAATGGAATACCAAAATTTGGTGGCTGGACTACTGGTGCCTGCTGAACCACTGTTTTGAGCTGCTTAAATGCGCCATCACAGTCTTTGGTCCACAGTGCACCTAGTTTGCCTTTATGACATCTAATATGTCCAAAGAGCTTTAAATAACTTGCCAGGTGTGGTACTCCGTAGGACAAAAAGTTGACGAATTCGCACATGCTGTTGACATCCTTACCCATGGTAGAAGTTCACTAGTCTAGCAAGTGGTCGACCTTCCCGGGATCGATCATGATTCCATCCCCGGATACTCGGTAACCCAACAGTTGAATCTCGATAACACCGAAGTGACATTTCTTACTGTTGACCTTAAAGTTGTGCTTGTTGAGTCTGTCTAGAACCTCTCGCACAACCCTTTCGTGCTCCTCTTTGGTTTTTGTAAATACCACAATGTCATCAATGTATACTTGTGCATTGTCCATGTCTTTAAACAAGTCTTGCATAATTTGCTGAAAGAACGCAGGTAACATGTGTGACCCAAGGGGGACACCTTGGAACGAATATTGCTGACCCTCTCAGGTAAACGTTAAATACTTCCAGTGTGGTTTGTAGATCTTCATCTGGTGGTAGCCCTGCTTCAGGTCAATAGTGGAGAATATCTTAGCTTCCCCCATGCGCCTGAGTAGTTCGTTTTTCTTTGGTAAGTGAAAATTGTGTGGCGGTATCAAAGTGTTAATTGTGCTCATATCCAAACACACCGGAACGTTCTTCAGCGTCCCGTCAGAGTTGAATTGGTCGACGGCTAAAAGCGCTAGGTTAACGGGAGTCAGCTCGTAGTTGACTGTGATCAATTCATCATCTAACCATGCTTTAACCTGTTCTCGTACGACCTACTCATGACGTCATGCAACATAGTTACGTGTAGGACACTTCAGATTCGACAAATCTACTCTCGTCAGGTCTAGACTAACGTATCCGTTATTGAATTTGAACTTAGCCTAGTCAGTGATCTGAATCTTGTCGTTCTCGAAAATCACGTCCTTGAGTTTCTCTGTGAAGTGAGGGATCATCTCCTTCACAGTATTCGAAGGTATATATACCGGTTTCAACAAGTTGTCGTCCGACTGATCCTTCTGTGGTTTAATGTTAGTAGGTAAGCCTGTAATTGTGATACCTAATGACAATAAATCACTCATACCACGAGTTACGTCTGTTAGTTTACAGCATCTAGAGGATATACATAAAATTTGCGAGCCCGGATCTAACAGCGCTTTTTATTTCATGTCCGTTAACTCGTATATCAAGGATTGCACGCTCGTCTTGAGGTGCGTCCTTTTGTCTTAGTGACAAGATCCGGCATGTTTGTCACTTAACTTCAATTTTTGGTTTCAACTTGCATGTATACTTGTGGTAACCTCCAGTCCCGTTACAGTCGGCACACTTCGCGATAAAGTGATTACACTTTTCTGCGTGCCTTCCATTCCATCTGCCATTCGGCTCATGTTGGATCATTCGCCAATTGCAATCAGTCTCACTACAGTTCTTGACCTCCCTATGCCTGGGCTTAGGGTTGCCTGCCGGCGGTCCATTTCTGTTGGTCTGGTTACCCTTAGGGATGACATTGATCTTATTGCCTTCAGAACCATTTGTATTTTTGTTCTTATTGCTACCCTTGTCACACCCTTTGTGTACCTTCTGACCTTCATTAGTGGACTGAGAGTCTCGACCATTGCCTGATCCTCCGGTAAGATTGCCGCTGACCTTCTGAGCATTAGTTACTTTCACCACGGAACTAGGGCGTTTGGTAAACGTCTGATCCGCTCTCGAGTAAAATTCAGCCCAGGTTAAGTCCGCTAGCGTCATTATGCCGTAGGTAGGTCCCTCGATGGTGTTATCTCGTACCTTGTCCGGGTAAGATTGATGCATATCGGCGTACAGAATCTCTTGATCTCTCCTATGTAGGTTTGACGAAAAGATTGTCTGCACCCATAGTACACACGTGGATAGCTTGTCAGGTGACATCTCCCGAGTCTGGGCCCGTGACATGTGTGTGTCCAACTATAATAAGTAGTGGGACACCGGCGTTCCTTCTTCCGGTGGTATCATGATCGATACAAGCAATTCCGGTCGAGGGTCCGTCGAAAATAAGTGGACGATCATCTCACTCTGCTCTTTCCACGATTTTAGCTTAGTGATCGCTTGTTTCGCCTTCTCTAACTTGTAATACTTGTAAGAGGACGGCTTAAAGCTCTGCTGCGCTGCTTCGAACCATAGGTTCTTCCGTGGATTGGCTGTAAGCATAATCTGTCCAAACTCTTTTAAAGACCTAGATAACAACGCCAGACTGCTAGTATCGATTGGATCCTTCCGGTCCTTTCGATCAGATCTGTATGTCATTGGTAGTCTACCTTCGTCCTTTACAAATTCTTGCCTTCCACAGCCTTCTGGATCTGAATTACTCTTAGTCTCGAAGTGCGTAGCCATTCTAGCGGCATCAATTCTAACTAGATCCATCGCCTCGAGTGAAGCAGCCTCAGCCTTGTACATTTAAACAGTGAATTCAGCGATTTTCAGATCACTACTAGAGTGATCTGATCCTTTCTCTTCTAACTGCATCTGACCATACAGTCAGTTGTCTGCCTCATCCTTTGATCCATCGACCTGTTTAATGTGAATGAACGCTTTTGATGGGACAACATCTTTTGTCGTCATTGGGATAGCCGCTGGGGGCGAACTGTCTCCCGATGACGACAATGATTTTCTAGATTCCGCCTGATCAGGTTTAGGCTCTTCGGTCGAGTTGTCCTTCGGAAATACCTCTGGGGCATTCTGTGAATTTCCTTCCGGTGATGGATTTGGGTTAGGCTTCTGTTCAGATGCCATTCGCGACATAGCTATTGCGTTCAATCCAGGAGAAGATTGAGCTTCGGATTATGAAGATCGGATTCTGTTTGCCTCTCCATTGTCTGACAACATCTCAAACGCCAATATGGCTTGATAGAGTACCAAATGGTTTGATATCAAGTCGGGAATGTCTCCAAGAAGATCCCGAATTGCGTACCACATTAAGTGTGCAAAACTTCCATCTCTCCTAGTTCCGAATATCTTCATTCGGTAGTATCTTTTGAAACCGACGGAAAAGTTTGCGTGCCTGCTTACCTTCGTCAGTTTTCATTGCTACTGGCCAATTGTAGTATTTAAAATCTCTGAACAAATCGAGCCCAAAATTTCTTACCGCTGCATTCATTACATACCTCGGTGAGATGGTACCATCCGGTTTGGTCTCCAGTACATCCGGAAAGTACGTTCCATACGTGTTTCGAAACACCCATGACCGGTTGGCCCGCTGACGGATCAACTCTCGTTGACCCTCGTCCTGAACATCAATCTGAGTCTGGTATGAATGGCCCAGATCATGCATCCCACCAGACCCCTAATTTGCCACCAGGGCAAGGCACAAGCATAATTTCTGTACCAGTATAAGCATTGTCTCCGGTGACAAGATAGGGCTTGGGTAGTGCTTCAATCGATGCTAGTATGCCACATGAGTCTAATGCAGGCTTATCATGAACAAATCCATAACACGAGCAAGCGAATTCCAAAAAGCTATATTTGAAATCGCACACAGCCTGACAGTTCAGGCCTATCACCATTTTATGACCAGAGAGTAGTCGTTTATGGTATGGCGTGCGCAAAATCCTGCAGCTAGCCTTTTACACTCAGTCTCGGTAGTTGGAAATTCTATTCGTAGTTATGGTACAGTAGTTAAAGCATTTATGGCTCTAATCACCGCTTGGATAAATAGTATACCGTAGATCTATGTACTTTGTAAATAAGACATATATCAGGTACCTGGCCTCCTGCTAGCATACGTAAGGCAATTCCAAGTTGAACATCAACTGGTACTGCATCATTACGGAAGCTGCCAAAATGTCCATTCCGTATGCAAGCTGGAGTGATAGCTTGTTGTAAACATAGAAACTGTCCCCACGTCATACGCAAGTCTAAACAGAAGTAATGGTCTGCAGGATCTGACCAGCGATGTCAGAGAAACAGGTTCTGTGTCTATATACTAGTGCACCACGAGTAGCATTTGTAATATCCTCTAAGGACTGTGCGCTGTAAGCAATCAGTGTCACCACAATGATCATCAAAACACGATTGATACCTTCTGAAGTGCCATTATTCTCATCAGCGTCATAGTTCTGCATCTCAAGATCTAAATCCATATAATCAGAGGGTCTCTGGGCTGGTCCATAAGCATCTTTACGATGTAGTTCATTTATCAAGCTATTGATATCAGCTTCTCGCGTCGGACTTTCGTGTATAAGGCCTGCTAATCTTTCGGCAGTAGTAATAATATCCGAGTCGTGAATGTAATTACTGTGATCATAATTTGAAGTGCTGTTTGTCAGTGGTTCGTGACGCATATGTGCTAATTCTTGTTCACTACTGCAATGTGACATCGAACGCTCGTTCGGTGATATGCATTTGCAATCCGTTTCTTCCAGATCATTGATATTCTCCATACTGTCCAAGTCGTATGACTGTTTATACACAACACACTTCTCTTTATTGTATATATATGTATTCTGTATTGCTTTTTCTCATATCCATAATAATGATTATCCAAACAGTGCTCTCTTGACTTTATGAGTCATATAGCTTGAACATATTGAAATAGTACGTAAACAAATTGCACTCAATATAGCGAAGTAGTCCAAAAATAGACATTGGATACTGTTTTGAGGCAGGAGCGACCAAAAACTCTCCGAACGCAAAATCCGAATGCAAAATCCGAACGCAAAAAGCGAACCCGTTAAGACTGGGCCTCAATCCAGCCAGAGCGCCATGTTTTTTTCTCCAAAAGTTCCACCAATAATTAGTGAGATTACTTCCACTAAAGGGCACTATACAGCCAATGGGTAGTGAGACTGCAATGCAAAACCCCCTTCTGTAAAGTGTAATCTGTTGGACTTGGATAAGTTGTTGGATTTGGACTTTTGGAGGCAAAAACACTGGCTATGGCTATGTACAATCAACAACGGAATGAACCTCGAAGCCATTGATATTTTATAAATATATAAAATGTGATATAATTATGTACATGTGAACGACGTGATATGTGTTATTTACCGGTCTTTATGCAGTCCCTAAGTCCAAGTACTAATATTCCATCTGCTCTGCGACCTTTTTGCGTGTGCCATTTTCGAATAGGCCATAGATATTAGTTTGGCTATCTGGCGTCAGCAGTGATTAGAAGGCGGTGGTTTGCCAATCTTTCAGACGAAATATCACATTCATAGCTTTTCGAGGGGTTTTTTACTCAAATTTGTACATCCTAGATGCACTTCGCCGCGTGGAACAGAACACAAAACGCATATAACCAGTTAGAAATCACAAAATATGTTTCGACTGTCTCAACGTTTGGAACCTCTTCAGCTTAGTATGAGTAAGAGACATCTATTAAATTCGTACGTCCAAACGAGTCTCGCTTCTAACAAATCGGTCGATCCCTCTGTTATCGTCACCAATGACTCTGTTCTAACAAGCAATCCTCCAGGGAAAGTGAATGCAGTAGTAATCCTACTAGGATGGCTAGGTATGCAAAACGACGATGTTAAACTGTCGTCTAGTTGAAGTTCCAACTGCTTTGTCAGTGTGTAATTGTAAAGATGTGGATTCATTGTACATGTGTATCAGCAAACGGTACACTGAGTAAGAAAATTCTGTTATCATCAGATAAAACTATGTACAACGTACTTTCATTTCCATTAATAAGCAAGCACCAGATGTTTGCGAGGTGTCATTCTGCTAAAGGTGCTTATGTGTTTGTAAGGTTCCGAATAGGTACTTCCTAACTTTGTCGCACAATTGGAGATTTATTTTTTTGATTATGCTCTTGGCGTCATAAGAATTTCACCGTTCGGTGAGTATGACAATGCTGCGTACACAAACCTACAGGGCACAGAATTTAAAGACACGCACCTTCTTTTGGGACAGAGTCACGTATCAGTGTTACCACTCGCGATATTGCATAGCACGGGTTTTTCGTATCCTATATGTATGCGTGTACTGAAAAGATATTGTGTGAACTGATACACTGTAAACAGACGTGTATTTGTAAAGATTTTTCAGCGTGGTAGCATATATGAGTGTAAGTGAACTGTTGTATATATTTATTCATGTGAACACGCGGTATATGTGCAGTAGGTAAGTGTTAGTGAATTATATTCGTATGTATTTTTGTATGTTCACACCCGATATATGTGCAATTGGTACGTGCTAGTGAATGTGTGTAAATCCCAGATATAGGAACCTCAATTACACATGTGCACTTTTAAATGTACATAGGTGAGTTTATACGCATACATACATACATAGAAATGGGAGAGAATAACGCTTACAGTTTTGCATTTAAAACCTGGTTGAGAAATCTCGAATCCTAAATCAAGCTCTGCACGCATCGAACCTCATAGTAATGGGAGAAATCATCGTTGGGGTTTTCCATAATTTCGCGTGTATATCCATTTTAATCCGAGACTTCGCTTTCGTGCTTTTGCTCCTCACCGTGCACACCAAGGGGCCACGCACCGACTAGTTGGCAAATATGCTGAGTTGTATCAAAAGAGAGGGTGTGTGACTATCACCACTACAGCCTCAACCGCGGCGGTCATGCAGTCGGTTATGTTTTCTGGCATGAACCCCTTGCAGAAACTAGGAGCTTCTCTAATAAAGTATGTAATCCACTCGTTTGTGTGTGAGAGAGTGTGCGTACGAGTGTGTTTTGCTGGTGTATCTGGTCGTATCAGTAATCTGGGGCTATCGTGGTTCGTAGTTGTATACAATAGGTAATATTAATGTGGCACTAATTCAGAGTTTGTCCATGAGAAGACATGTCTGAATTACGCGAAGTACCTTTCTTTTAAGTCAAAGCAAGATCGTGTCGGTGAATCGCCGATTGCAACTACATAATTGCACAATGAACTTGACTCTTTAGCCACAGTCTTTTTATTGCGAGATATGCAGCTGTAGTTGCTTACTTTTCTATATAGCAGGTGTCGCGCTCTGCGTTAATGCTGTTGTGTTTTACCGTAGTTGTATTAGTTATCAACACACACTGCTGCCGCCTTCCGTGCATGCTGTTCTATGTACAGCCTCCGGGTGTCAGGTTTCTTCGTGTAGCTCCGTCTACTGTATGTTTGGTGTTGCTACAGTGTGACTGTTTGCCGTTGATTACTGGTTCTAGGCATGTTGAGTGCAATGGCAAATTATCAATGCCTTATGATTTTCTCTGCAACCATTCAGTGGGGCAGCCAGCTCCATCAATCGAGTAGAAGAAATGGCCGACAACAACAAAGTGCCCCTGATCGTACATGCATTCAGCAATGGAGGCACAGTCGTGGTGGAGAGCATAGAAGCCTTAATTCACGAAAACAGTACGAAGTTAGAATGCACGGATTACGAGCCTAGCACTGTGATTGAAGAGACAGACACAAAGCAGCAAAAGGATACACAATTATTCGCCGATCGTCTTCAACTTGGCGGTCAGGTGTTTGACTCGGCCCCTTTGGCGATGCACATGCAGGCTGGGACTTCCACTATAGGTCATGCGGTAACCGATAATGCTATATTGAGACTGGGTGTACAAGTGGTGTTCAGCACTGCTGCTAAACTAATTGCTGTGCTAGCTGAGACTACTGACTCTATTATGAGAGGTACTCTGTTCTGGGAGCATATGCAACAGAGCAATCTGGGGTGTAAACAGTACTATATTTATAGTGTGGATGATTATCTGACCGATGTAAAATTCTTAGATGAGCTGATCACATACCGCAGAGAGAAAGGTGTGGAAATAACGGCTATCAGGCTAGAGTCTAGTCCCCATGTGCAACATTTGAAGTATCATCCGGAAGTTTATAATAAATTTGTGGATGGCATACTGGAAGAGGCGCGGATGCGCGCTCTAATTTAGCTGTCATCAACGTTCTTTGTGCGATTGGTCAGAAATATTCGTGTAAGCAGCTCATGTTTGCTTAGTAGCGTAGATACCGAGGCCACTACTCGGTCTTGGAAAGACTATTACTCTAGAAAGCTAGATTGTTCGCCTGATCATACCAAAAAAAAAGAGTAAAATAATATTTTTCAAGGATGAAGGATGTACTTTATAGAATTGTGGCTTGATTCTCAGATTAATAGCCTGTCTTTGTTCGTATGTATAGCCAAATGCGGCACGGGAATATAACCCTTCACCAAGTCATGAATTTTTATGTTTTATTAAAGTGATGTCGTCTAGTTCATGTTTGATTTTTTGATGACGGTCTGAGAGAGAGAGAGAGATATATATATATATATATATGTATATATATATATATATATATATATATCTATATATATAGTATATATATA